TAAGCTGATGAAAAGAGATCACGTTGTGGCTGAAGTTAGCTGAAACTGTTCCGCCTCGACCAGTGCTTAACTGCATTGTATCCGACCCTAGCTGAAGTGGAGCCCACGAAAGCTGAACTTAACTGCAATATCCTAAACCAGAGAAGGTGACAAACAGCTGAGTAAAACTGATTTTTGCTGATTTAAGATAAAAGAACGACCGGTATTAGAACCATGGACCTTTGGATTATGAGGCGGTACCGTAGACCACTACACTATGCCTCGGCCTGTCTACTGGAAGCATCGGGGAGAGTCTCTTTCCGACGCGATCGAACCGATGACTGAGGTTTACTGAGTGTAACTGAATTCACTGAATGGAAGTAACCTTAGTGTGGCACTCTAGTCAGAGGTCGTTTTTGTTCAAAATTTCTAAGTCCAGCTCTGCATACACAGAAAAGAGAAGATCAGATAGAGTCAGTATTCTGTCAGTAAGCCTAAAACGCTGATCAAACCTGAGCTAGGTAGGGCAAACAAACTGACCATAACTCAGTTCACATCAGGTCACGATCCAGGAATTTTTCGATGCCGATTTTGGCTGATTAGGATCAGGTATTGTGGCTATGAAATTGTCGGGTGAAGTCAGGTTTATCTCAGTCAGTTGTAGAGCTGAGGAGAAGCCTCCGTTAGCTGAGTCAATGTAACTGAAAATGTCAGCTAAGAGTGGCTTCCTAAATCAGTTAGCTCAGTCAAGCTCGGCAACACTTCAAGCTGAACAAAACTGAGGCGGTAGTGCCGACGAAAAATCGGATGAGCGGATTTTAACTGACCCTAACTGAGAGTCTTTCAAAGATTCCGTCAGGTAAAGAATGGCTCAGTCGGTCCCCACGTCGGGCAATTCTTAGGTTCGATCAGCACTATTCTAGATTTTTCAGCTCCAGGTAGGATTGTGCAGCTCCACGTCGGGTTCACTCAGCCATACTCAGTCTCAGCTCAGCTAGTTTTTTCTCTAGGGCGACAGGCAGTAACGTCGAATCAACGTGATTACCACTTTGAAATTTAGTTGAAAAAGGCGTCAAATCCACGTCGATAGCACATGGATAATCGACGTTGAATCCACGTCACAAATCGACGTTGAATCCGCGTTTCTTCCACCGATATTCCTGTTTTGGGGATTCATGGAGGAGAGGGATCGACGTTTCTGCAATTTGAATGCACGCAAGATACACAGTGTAAGTTGCATGACATCACTTAATAATTCTCAATTTTTAATTCGTTTTCCCGTTCTCAGTAATTGCTTTCTTTTCTTTCAGTTTCTGAGGAGTATTGAGTTGTTGTTGCTTTTGACTTGGCTGACAATGTATCTTGAGACTGTGATATGAAGTATATGTGATTTTAACAACTAGTTTAGAATAATACTATTTTATGTTAGTCTTAAGTTAGTTATTGATAAATTTACTATAGATGAGGTAACCATGTACACATTTGATACTGTCATTTGAGTAAGTTATGTACTCTCATTCCTGAACAAATATAATTTTAAATCTGTCAAACTTGTGATTTCATGCAAATTATTGGTAATTGTTTACTTGAGTGACTCCTCGCCCTGGAGTCACTCAAGTATACCATCGGAAAGGTATTTTTCAGTAGAATCCTGAACAGTATTTATATATTGGCGCTCGAGTCTGGTTTTCCTCAAAATTAAATAAATATGCGTCGCCGCTAACCTTCAGATGCACTTTGAAGACGGCAGGATAACTTACGTTTACGGCTAGTCCTGACGTTGGTCACTCCGG